TCTCTCTCTCTCTCTTTCCTTCCTTCTTTTCTCTTTGTTGCACTGCTGCAATAAAGATCTTTTGGTCACTCCGAGTGTTGTGGTCACTTTCCTTTCAAGGCTGGCTTCAAACCTGTGATCCTCCGGCCTCAGCCTCCTGAGCTGCATGTGCCACTCGCCCAGCAGCACTAGGTTTTGATAATTCACATCACTAACAGGAGTTTTCTCCTAGCAAAAATTACATGCTAGTTTTCTCCTAGCAAAAATTACATTAAAATCTCCATGATTGTGATACCTTTCCAAAGTAACTAAAAATAGCAAAATTCATAAAAATTATGTCACTAATATGTTTTTATTGCTTTGGTATTAATAACACCCTTTTATAGCCACATAATCTCACCTGATTCTAGAATATAAAATCTTCAATCAGAGTTTTTGAGTGAATAAATGAATGAATTATTTTTTKGGGGGGGCTCTTTGGTTGGTAAAAAACTGAATTATGAGAGGGTTTTGGGGTTACATCAATAAAGAATTTTATTCAGCTGCTAGTAAGAAAGATTCAAAGCATCTGTGGCCTAAATAAAAATAAGATAGGGATGTAGTTTCCTCTCAGGAGAGTCCAGGCTGGTATGGAGACTATCCACAAGTCTCCAGATTGGAATCCTCTGTCTTCACACATGACTTTTACCCATTAAATGTCACTTCATGGATGAAAGATGACTGCTGGGGCTCCACCTATCAAGTCCATGGTTGAAGAAAGAATAGAGGGAAAGGGAAGGGGTTGCTTGCTAGTTAGGTTACACCCTCTTTTTATTGTACTGGGGATTGAACCCAGGAGCATTTAACCACTGGCCATATCCCAGGGCCTTTTGTATTTTATTTAGAGACAGAGTCTTGCTAAGTTGCTTAGGGCCTCTCTAAGTTTCTGAGACTGGCTTTGAACTCCTGCCTAGCCTCCCGAGCTGTTGGGTAGGTTAGCCCCTTTTAAATAGCTTTCTCAAAACTTTACCCAGTCACTTCCATTGACATTATTAGCCATCCCCGTCCACAAGGAAGGCCAGAAAATGCAAGCTTATTAGCTAGGCACAATGCTGCCCCCACTATAGGAGTAAGAAAGGTAAATGTGTGAAGAAGTGGTTATTAGGAAGAAAGCCAGTACTCTGCCAGAAAAGGTATTAATGAAAGGGAAGGAATGATGTACAAATAATATTCAGTGTGCCAAGGCCTTCTTGGAATTGTTTTACATTTCTCTATTCTCCACAAGGAATAGAAGAGTTCTGAACAGGACAGAGTGGCTCCTGCTGAGCTGTTTCAGTGGAAAAGGGAAGAATCTTTTTTTTACCAATGTTATTTGTTGAGGGCCTGAAGTGGAATGAGGTAAGAAACGAGGACCCTTAGCTGGCCCATTTTAGCTGACATGTTGCTGTCTCTTGAAGGGTGCTGGCATCATAATGAGTTCTTGTTCATGCTCTTCTTCCTCCCCGGGATGCTTTCTCACTTCTACATCTTAATTCTCTCTACTCAACTCCTGTTTGGACCTTCAACTTACAACCTATATGTTCTCATCACTTTGTATATGTTCTTATAAGCCTGGACTTTATCTGTTTACCTGAGAGCAGTTGTTTTAGGTCTGTTCCTGCCCTGGTCTTTTATCCCACCTCCAAGGCCCATAAGGGTGGATACTGGATCTATCTTTTTCAGCTCTTTACTGTACCCAGGACATAGCAGCTGCTCCACAAATATTTATTGAATGAATAAATACATCTGATAAGGAAATTCACATAATAAATATATCTGATAAGGAAATTCACATAATAAATACATCTGATAAGGAAATTCACATAAGAATTTACCTAAACTAGCTTAAGCAAGAAATAGAATTATAATGATTCTGAGACATTTCATAAAGACAAAAGACTGGCTACAGCCTGGCTTCAGGAATGGAGTAAAACTAGAAACTCAAATATTACTGTAAGTCTCTTCATTTTTAATTCTCTTTCATCAGACCAGCTTCTTTTTCTTGTTACTTCTACATAGTGAGAAAAATATGGCTGCCAAAGAGCACGTAARTGTTATGTGTCAATGGGTCAATCAACCTCAATCTAGCTCTGTTCTTTCTCTCTTCAATATTCCTGTTTAAGTCAGCTTTTTCACAGCTGTGACCAAAAGACCTGACAAGGACACCATAAAGGAGAAAAAGTTTATTGGGGCGCATGAATTCTGAGGCCTCAGAACTGCCCAATTCCATTGTTCTGGGCCCAAGGTGAGGCTGAACATCAAGAAGGAAGAGGAAAGTAATTCAGGGCTGGGATTGTGGCTCAGAGTGGGGTGCTTGCCTAGCATGTGGAGGCCCTGGGTTTGATCCTCAGCACCACATAGAAAAAATAAATGGGGTGGAGGTATTGTGTCCAACTACAGCTGAAAATAAATTAAAAAGAAAGAAAGAAAGAAAGAAAGAAATTCAGGCTATAATTACCAGGATGCAGAAAATACGCTCTGATCACCAGGGACAAGATATATACTCCAAAGGCATGCCCCCAATGATCTACCTCCTCCAGCCACACCCTCTCTGCCTACACTTATCAGTTAATCCAATCAAGTAGATCTGTGTACTGATTAGGTTAAGATTCTCATGACCTAATCATTTCACCTCTAAATTTTTTTTCCTTTTTTTGGGGGGGGGTGGGTAGCAGGGATTGAACTCAGGGGCACTCCACCACTGAGCCACATCCTCAGCCCCATTTTGTATTTTATTTAGAGACAGGGTCTCACTGAGTTGCTTAGTGCCTCAATTTTGCTGAGGCTGGCTTTGAACTCGCAATCCTCCTGCCTCCGCCTCGGAGCCGCTGGGATTACAAGCATGTGCCATCGTGCCTGGCTCACCTCTAAATTTTCTTGCATTGTCTCACTCATGAGCTTTGGGGGGATATCTCATATTTAAACCATAACAATTACCAAGGAGAAAAACTATTGCTCCATTTAACATGAGTTAGGAACCTGATCCTGGCCTAATCAAGTGATCAGGGAGTCAGGATCATATTGTAGAAATATGATCCCACTATAACCTTGTGGTTTCGGTGTGGGAGAGTTGATTCCTTGGAAAAAAAGGTTTTGGAAAGATTAAACAATGGGTGTCTTTTTGGCATGAGCATCAATCCCCACTCCCCAGTCCCAGCTCTGGTTCTTTGAACATAGCTCTGGCATCTCTTTGGATTGACTCCTGGATCCCTGGAGTCTCCACTGGGTTTCTGCAGAGCCCTTGCCAGAGTCCCCCAGTAGCTGGCTCCCAATTCTTTATTAATTTCCCTGACACTTTTTACCAACAATGTCAATGTTAAGAGATAGCATGTGTGCTTAGACTTTACAACCTGGCCTCCTCAACAATCAGGAGATCCTGTTAGGTTTTTCTGGCTGCAGAAGGTGACAGAAGAGGGCTGGGGATGTGGCTCAAGCGGTAGCGCGCTCRCCTGGCATGCGTGCAGCCCAGGTTCAATCCTCAGCACCACATACAAACAAAGATGTTGTGTCCGCCGAGAACTAAAAAAAATAAATATTAAAAATTCTCTCTCACTCTCTCTTTAAAAAAAAAAAAAAAAGAAGGTGATAGAAGAGTCAGAGGAGCTGCTGGACAAGGATAGGCCTCAGGTAAAGGCAGCTCTCTCCATTTTCCCCTACCAGTACTCTGTTCCTTTTACATCTGGCCATCATACAGCTATGAGGATTTCCATAACCATCTGAAAAATGAGGAGTCTAAAAGTAGACAGACATGAAAATGGTCACCCAATAGATCAATAGCAAAGAAAACAGTTGTACTTAAGTCTTCTTTCTTTATGCTCCAGCTATAGGTGTTAGGTAGTAACTAGAAATGAACAGTGAAATGCATGGCATAGTCACAAGCATCCCTTAAATTGCTTTAGGGTCTTTAAACTACTTTCAAAGTGGATGAGAAAAGAAAGGCTGGCAGTTAATTTGTATAAAACACACAGGAACAAAGGAGTTAATTGGAAAATA